TCCTCACACACACACACACACACACGGCGGGACGTTGCGAGGCTCGAGGAGCGGGACACTGTGAGCTGGCTCTCTGGTGTGGGGTCGGCGAGACACCGCGGAACTCAGCCTGGGCACACACACAAACTCCAAGCCAGGCTGCGGGTGCGGGTGTGTGTTCGGGCTGGGTTTCGCGGTGTCTCGCAGACGGCCATGGGCTCACTGGGGGGGGGGGCAGGAGCTCCAACAAGCCGTGTAGGACAGAGAGTGAATACACATACTATACAGAGATGCTGTATGAGAAACCAATGAGAGTTTGGAACATTGAACAATATAAATCTATTCTAGTAGACCTCAACTATGGAACTATGATCAGTAGAAATGGCCATGACATGGGAGCTTTATAAAAAACTGGTGTGAAAAACTGCAATTCAAGATTTTGTGGAAATGTCACGTAAAGTTTTCTCTGTGGGTTTTTTGGATTAGCGTTTAATTAGCAACGTTCTCCTTTAATTGGTGTTGTTTGGATGTGTGTCGTGTGCTTCCTGTACCTTTCCTTCACTCTCTTTGGAGGCGTTTTGCTCTCCGATCATCGGCGCTCCGCTCCACGAGGAACCGACGATCCACCATCGCCCGATCTGATCTGCTGCCAGGAGATTATCCAGAGAGACCCTCAGCTTCATGTCACGGCCTCCTGCTCGGCGCTGCAGCTGGAGGAACAAGAACAAACCAAGATATTTAGGATCAGAGATGGTTTGATTTCCTCCAATATGTCGGGCCTAGAACATCCGACATATTTCTGACAGTTCCTCCTAGGCCAAGGAATGATGGCTGAGCTCTATGGGGATGACTTTGTGTATTATTTTGTTCATTTCTTGTTTTCTGGGTATGTATGTATGTTTATATATATTTTATTTTTTGTTATTTTGTTTCATCATTTTTGTGAATCCTATTAATAAAAAAATAAAAAAATGTAACAGGAATCTGATTTGAGGTCGAGGGAACATTTTAGACTTGGGTGTGTAAAAGTGGTGCTCTGGCTCCCCCTGGTGGTCAGAAGCTAGTATGACAACAACATTGAAAGAACACAAAAGCCATGTTTAGTGTCATATACGCTGCAGAAGAAGTACTCACATCTACTCCTGATACTGATATCTTAACCTATAATTATATTTCAATGTTTATTCACAAGTGGTTTATATTTTGTATGAGCTGATAATCTGTATATGCAAAGTAAATGGGATGTCCGATTAAATGAAGGGGAGTAGAAAGTACAATATTGGCCGAGTAGAAGCACAAAGCACAAAGTAGCCGGAAATGTGAGGAGTTTTTTACTAATGTAGTGAAATGAGGATATGTACGTTTAGATATAGTGATGTTGTAATTGTTAAATACTAAATGACCCACCAGAGTCCTCTGCAGCTTCCTCAGTTTCTCCATGGGTTCAGGATCGTATCCGGGGATTTTCCTCATGTCGTTGTTCTTCAGAGCGAGCATGGTCTCCAGCATGAAGCGTACCTATAGGACAAAAATCAATACATGCATATAAACTTATGAGATAAGCTAGATTGTCTTCTCTAGTAAGTGGCTTGCTAAAAAAATCCTCATCACACAATGGATAAACGCTTTAATTGACATACTCATCTCAGAACTGTCAATCATATCCCCCCCAAAAAGCAGCATAGGGCCTCTTTAAAGTACAAAGTGTTGTTGTTGTTGTTACCCTGGTCTGATCCTGGAACTTTGTCCCCACGTCCCCAGCTTTTCGCTGTCCCTCACAGATGAGCTCTTTGAGGGCCAGAGCGTCGTCTTTCCTCAGAGCGAAGCCGACGTTCCTCAGCACGAGAAGAACCAGCTCGATGTCCTTCTCCCTGAAGTCTCCCACCAGGTGTTTCAGGATGTCGAAAACGAGTACGGAGTGAACCACCTGGAAGTTGTACAGGTGGCAGATGATGGAGATCAGGTTGTCGCACTCCTTGGTTTCCGAAGGGTTCTTGTACACTTCGTCAAACTGTCGAACAACCGTCTCCAGGAAGTGAGCTCCGACCTGGGGAATAATCAGAAGGGAAGAACACATCAGGTATATCAACTAAATGGAAGTTAAATAAAGGGGGGACAGACATCAGGTGTGTGAGCCTTATTTAGGTGTGATCTAAAGTAAAGAGAAATACAATTATTTCATTGTTGTTGTTGACAGAGCAGTGGCTTTACTTAATCCCTAGATTCAAGCAATTTAGTTAGCGTTCAACTCATAACTAGAGAGTATTAGAAAACTACAAAATAAGTCAAAACTTTTCAAACCTTTCCTTATGTAATCTCAAACATGTGTGTTGAGACAAGTGTTCATTTTGTCAGCTACTTTTTTATTTAGTTTTAGTCTTAGTCCTGTATCAAATGTCCTTGTTAGTTTTAGTCATACTTAGTTAGTACTCCTGTTTTTGTTTAGTCAAGATTTAGTCGACTAAAAGTCTGAGCATTTTAGTCAAAGAAAACAGTTGAGTCTTTTTTAGTCATCAGATTATATAGAACATTTCAGTCGAACTAGTCGAGCCAAAACCAATAATTTGTCATTTTAGTCAAACTTCTTTCCCAATAAGATTATATCTTGTCCTTATTTGATGAATGACAGGTTGAATGATTGAGAAAGCAGCTTTGCAGAGAGCATCTGGTTTGTGGGGTTTTACCAGCTGTGGAATGGCCACATTGCTTCCATTCTGATAAAACAATGCAACTCACTCGCGCTGACAGAGAGGGGGGAATGGGCCCAACATCAGATCGTTTCTTTCTCCCAAGCAGTGGTGGCGTTAAACTTTTTCGTTGTCATTCATTTTGACGGACAGGATCGTAACATTTCCGTCATAATCCATTATTGCCCGAGACTTTAGTTCCACCTGGAGTAAATTCCCAAGCTACCCTGCAGTATATGACCCATTAAGGAATTAAAATGCATTTGTAATGATCATACCATGCATGCACAAAACACAGAAGGCTTTCCGATGCACTATATCAACGGTCAATCAACATTATTGATGCTTATAATAGTTATAGGTGTCTAATGTATGTTTTTGACAAGTTATTAATGAAATTATATTCAAAATGTAACAAAAAGATCACACAGTATACTTTAGTAGTCCATGCAGTATCATTATATGTACAGCGATAAGTCAATATTGATGCATTTACAATTATCAATCAATCAGTCAATCAAAATGCTTTATTAATCCCAAGGAGGGGGGATTAGGTTTTGTTACGGTTGCACCATGTTAGAATAAAATAAATAGATATTTTTAAAAACATACCTAAGTGAAAATGTAGCCACAGCATGCTTCATCTTAACATTTCATTGTTGCTGTGAAGTTAAGTGTTGTCATTTAGCATTTTGTTACTTTAACGATACCCATAATACCCTTTAGATCCGGTCTTCATGGAAATTGTTACCAAAAGCTCCATCTTGTAAGGGCAGATTATCCCTGCCTTGCTTACTCTAAATACATAAAGTGTTCTATTGATCTGCATCAGAAACACAAGGCTCTGACCCGCTTCTCTACCACTGTGTATTCTGGGTCATGCTGCACTGCACAGATGTTTGACTCCATGGTGTAATGTCCCTTTAAGCCTGCGAAAGACTGTCATTACTGCGCTCGCTGCTGCTATATGGGACGGCTTAGAGCTGCGTGCTTGGGAGCGATGCATTATTAAAGTGGGGCATGCAGAGAAATCCAGAGCTGTACCCAAAGAAAGCCTCAAAACTGGAGCGAGGGGAAGTGTAGCGCACTTCATAAAAAGAAATCAGAAAGGGAGATGAGGAGTCGAAGGAAACGGCCCGGTATGATGTTCACAGCTGATCCTGAAAAGATTCATGACAATTTAGATTTTAAATTGTTCATGTGGAGCCAAAAATGGTGGACTGTGTATCTGAGGCTCAAGGGAGGGAACAGCAGGGGGGGGGAAATGCAGCAAATTCTGGGTTTATTCCTGGTAAACTGACGTACGTATAAACTGCCTGAATTAAGGTCTCGGTCTGTCCTTCCTGCCATACTGAATCAAACTGCTATTCCAACCTTATACACATTTTGAATTAATCTGTTACAAAGCAAATGTACGGATACACATATGCATGCAAGTCAATGAGGAATGAGTCTCCTTCATTGTTGCAGGTCATTCTAGTTAGCACAACAAAAGTTACATCTACACATTATAGTCCATCTGTGCTTTGGGTGTTCCATCGGTTATGTGTACCTTCGACAAACTGCTTATACTTAAGCTTTAAAGATTATAATCTCCTCCTGCATGAGTTAAAAGGAACTATGTCTTATCTTTAAAAAAAAAAACGGATATATAGAATTAATGCATATAAACAAGCATATATATAAATCTTGCAATTGCCATACATAGACAATTGAAAAGATGTAATCATATGTTCAGATGAGTTGAGATCAGTCTCTGAAATACAGTATGCTGCCACCTTAATAAAGAAGGTCAGTGGAAATACATTTGTGTGAAGAGTCAAAAGCATAAATCTATAGAAATCTTCTGACTTTTTCTCAAAATTCTGACTTTATCTCAAAATTCTGACTTTATCCAAAAAATCTGAAAATTCTGACTTTTTCTCAAAATCTCAAAATTCTGACTTTTTTATTACATTTCTGACTTTTTCTCAAAATTCTGA